CGGCGAGGAGGATGGGGGGGTGCCACTGCAGGTGCCAAAGCCTCTGTGCCTCCAGAGAGGGCTCTGGGCATGGGCACCCCAGAGCTGGGGCAGCTGTGGAGGGGCCTCACTCGGGTGCAGGCACTGGGACGGGGTGGGAGGAGCCTTTTTTTGGGTCTGGGCTGCTCTCTGGTGGGGCTGGCTCCTCTCCTCGCTCCTGGTGCAGGTGAAAACCCTTCCAAAGAAAGGTTCTGGACAGTTGTCACTGCAGGTGGAAGTTGCATTTTTAAGGAATAAACATTTTTTATGGGCAGATCTTGGCCCCGCTGCTTTCATTTTCTCCCCTACCTTCTGTTGCTTGGTGCAGGGAAGGAGAAGCTCCGTGCCAGGGCCTCGGCCACCTTGGGCCCTCACTGCCCTTGGGGTAAATTTCAGCAGCACTCACAAATATTGGCCAAAAAGTGACCAGCAGTGAATGGCTACAAAGCCCTCCTGGTGTCCTCTCCAGCCTCTGCTGGTGCCCCCGCTGCTTTCATTTTCTCCCCTACCTTCTGTTGCTTGGTGCAGGGAAGGAGAAGCTCCGTGCCAGGGCCTCGGCCACCTTGGGCCCTCACTGCCCTTGGGGTAAATTTCAGCAGCACTCACAAATATTGGCCAAAAAGTGACCAGCAGTGAATGGCTACAAAGCCCTCCTGGTGTCCTCTCCAGCCTCTGCTGGTGCTGGGCTCGATGGGCGGTGAGCTCTGGCAGTATTTGGGTGGACATCTGGTGCAGCCCAGCAAGACCAGTTCATGCTGGGTGACAAGGGCTGAGGATGCACAGAGGGAAGGGAACTCAGCGGCCTCCACGGGGGTGCCACAGCCTGCAAAGGGGGTTCCTGTGGTGGCCACACGTGTTGGAGGAGGCTCCAGGCCTGGCTCAGTGTGCAGCTGCTGGGGGAAGGATCAGGTTGGCTGGTGGGGACTGGTGCCTGCTGGCTGGGGAGGTGCAGAGGTCCCTCGGGCAGCAGGCAGGGGCAGAGCTGGGTCCCAGAGGGACAGGAGGGCTCTGATTTAAAAGGGAGCCCACAGGTAACCCCGGTGCTCTGGAGAAACGAGGGGTGGGGATGGGGAGGGGGTGGGATGTGCCATAGAATCACAGGACGGTGTGGGTGGAAAGGGACTTTTTGAGATCATCTCATCCAACCCCCCTG